TCAGAATAGCTTCTCAGCTGACCATCTCACATGCATTCCAGATGGACCTGACAAGATACAGTTTGACGGCACAAGTGACAAGCTGGAGGTAAAAGAAGGGAAACCTGTAACAGTGAGATGTTCTGCTGACTGTAACCCTGCCTGTACTGTAACCTGGTGGGACATCTCTAGACAGACGGTGATTACAGGACAGGGGGAGGCTGTGTTGTCTATACCAGCTGTAGATGTACCTGTGTCTGGACTGTACACGTGTCACGTCTACAACAACCATGGGAGTACATCACGGAACCTGACGCTGAAGGTCTCCTGTAAGTCAACACTTCAGTATCAGAATCTGTTATATACAACCTATTTTAGGGGATGACGCCTGTTGGGACGGCCCTCTTTTCGTACACCTGATCCTGCTGGAACACCTGCTGGAACACTTGCTAGAACACCCAGAGATTTAAAATAATCAAAGACCCTTTAGATGTCATTCAAAGATTAAAAATGATTAACCATTTGAAACCGTAATATTGATGAAGAATTTAAGTTTCACTATGATCTGATGGCATTATCACTCCAATGATTCTTAACTTTCAGATTCTCCAAAAATCCCAAATGTTTCCGTTAATTCGAAAAAATCAATTAGAAACCCAGCCCTACAGAATACAGTGCTCCTGAAACTCTATTTATATGAGGAATATAATTTGACACTTTTCGTTACATATTTCCGTTTCTTCACCCTGCACCAATGAGAACACCGATGTTACCGACATTGCATGTCCTCCTGTGGAGCTGATGTTGACAATGACGTTGTTGTTGGGGATGCATACTGAACTGAATATTGTTCACATTGAATATTTCAGCACGTGGAGTTACTGAATCTAGTGCCGTTTCCATCGTCCCCGTGGCTGCTGTCTGTTCCGTCCTGATCGTGGTCATCGCCGTTGTCGTCATCGTTGTTGTGTGTAGAAAACAGAGACGTGGAGGTAATACGGTGTGATGTGAGAGTGAATGACGATAACCCGAGAGTCACGTAAAGTTATCTCTCTTCTTTCGCACTTTCGTTCAGCAAGTACAAATACTGATCTCATATACGGTTCATATATTAACTACATGCTCATGTTTACATCACGTAATCGATGTGTGTGTTCAGTGTATCGTCACCCGGAAATAGTTGGCTCCATAGAATAGGAAGGCCAATGCTTTCAAATGAACAGTCACACGATGATAGTCTATAAGAAAGATAGACACGTTCTTTTATGTGAGTGAGTATTGTTTTATGCCGCTTTTAGCGATATTTCTGCAATATCACGACGGGGGACACCAGAAATTGGCTTCACACATTGTACCCAAGTGCAGCATCGAGCCCTGGTCTTCGGCGTGACGAGCGGACTATTTAACCACTAGTCTACCCCACCGTCCCTTCCTATATATATACACATGTACTGAATTATATATGACAGTGTGGGACAACGCTTTGGGTGAGGTAGGCGGGGAGGGCGGTGTTGGAAGGTTACTTCAGAATACGTTGTACCCCCACAACTGATATATACCAATACTGACCAGCAAAAGAAACGCAATTCAAGAAATCAAAACTCACTGAATCTCGATTCGTCTGAAAAGATGACATTATCCCACCTTCGTTGTCCAGAACAGTCCTTTTACTACGCTCAAGCTGGGGTACTCGACATAACAGGTACAAATAAATATACAGTTGAGAATACATAGGATGGCGGGATGGTTTACAAGGAAGATTGTACAGTTTTCATGACAGTACTACAAAATATACACAGTTTTTTTAAAACACTAATTCGTTTACAGTTTAACAATTCGTGAAATCTTAAAACATTGGGTTTTTCAACATAATGGTTTGGGATATAAAGATTTTCAGATGATGTTTGAAGAAAGGGCAGAGAAAAATGTAATGAAATTCATCGCCAACATCACACGTGTAGCAGAGGTTACACATTCTTTCTTTGAGTGGAATTTACATCTATATGTAAACGATGGCAGGAAGTTCTAATCAAGAGAAATTTAAGAGCCAAGGAGAAAGGGATACATGTGAAATATTTTTCAAAGACAAGTTCAGATTTGAATACGCGATGCATTGTACCCTTAGAAGAATTCGAAATCTCTGCGCGCCATGTTTGGGTTGGTATATCATCTAAGTCTAAGGAGATAATAGTTTTAATTTCATTGAGAAAGACAGCTTGTTGACTTACCCAGCAGATGCTATAGCCTGTTTCATTCAAAACGGCTTCCACTGATTTTATCCATTTTGGGTTGCTATTGTTTATGCAGGCTTCATTATATAACATTTGGTATACAATTATAATGGTGTGCTTCTCTTAACGGGAATGATTTGAAACACCACCATGACAGCATTACAACACTGCCTGCATTTGTAGGCCTACGTCCACACTCTGCACGTGTGTCATGCATTTCATCCTTGCTTGTTTCTCCCTAATGATTTGGAACATCATCCTGCATGGTAAATGCTTTATCCTCACCACATCATACTTGTGTTAAAGTATCAAATCCAAACACAGGCTGAAAAAGTACAATTTTCATGAATTCTGAGTTGCGTTTTTATTGCAGGTCAGTATATATACACCTATACAAACGTTAAGCAATACTAATATCTTTTTTGATATAATGTCTTTACTATAACTGTAAAACATAAATAATACTTCCGTTTGTAGCATCTGATGTCCATTTCCACCCAGTTACTCAGTAAAACGTTATCTGGAAAGCATTTCACTTTATATTGACATGTTATACATTTTCAAATGATCATTTTGTCTTATTTATACTAATAGATCTTCCCTATGTCATATTTTTCACGTCCATGTGGTGGGTTTTGTTGAAATGTAAAGATGTCCTGGATGGTGTCTAGTAGTATTCATCCAGGAAGTAAATTTTGGGAAATTGAATCTGAGACCAGCCTTTAAGGAAGAGTTTATAGTGAGTGAATGTGAGCAATATCACGACGGGGGACATCCGAAATGAGCTTCAGACATTGTACCCATGTGGGGAATCGAACCCGGGTGTTCGGTGTGAAGAGTTTATACCCTTAAGAGACACTATTATTGAGATCATATGCAAAACCTTTCACAGCCATAAATAGAGTGAAAATTGAATATCTATGTCATAAACTTACATGAGAAGTTAGATGTAAATTATTTCAAACTGTGGTGGTATCTACTTGACATGTCCTTTTCTGTGTGTGTTTCAGTCCAACATAGACTCATTTCACTTCTCTTATATAACCGTCAAGATGCATTTGAACAGCCTGAGAAATATGAATCATTTCTTTAATTAACCCTAAAGATGCTGGAACAGCCTGAGACCGTCAAGACGCTTGAACGGCATTTGAGATATGAATCAATAGTGTGCACACATTTACATATTTGACGGCCTTTAGCTTTCAGTGAGTGAGTGAGGATGTTTACGCCGCTTTTAGAAATATCCCAGCAATATCACAGCGGGAGACACTTTAACCACTAGTCTTCCCATCCCAACAAGGACTTCAGGACACCAGTGTTACTTAGCTGACATTCACATATCGTTCTACAAATTTCAAGTTAATTATGTCTACTTCAAAGGTATGCAAGTATACGAGCAATTCGTTTATCATATATTTTTCATCTAACATTTTGCATCTACACAATTATATCTTTCAGGAAGGGGAGGCATTCATAGTCGGTGAGTATCTGCTACCCAGCGGGTAAGGCAAATGGGTAAATTTAAACTTAGTAGTATCTGCTCTTTTTCAAGGCTGATGGGTAAACAGTTGGCAGTATCTGCTATCCTTCAAGGCTGTTGGGTAAACAGTTGGCAGTATCTGCAGTCCTTCAAAGCTGTTGGGTAAACAGTTGGCAGTATCTCCTATCCTTCAAGACTATTGGGTAAACAGTTGGCAGTATCTGCTATCCTTCAAGGCTATTGGGTAAACAGTTGGCAGTATCTGCTATCCTTCAAGGCTATTGGGTAAACAGTTGGCAGTATCTGCTATCCTTCAAGGCTAATGGGTAAACAGTTGGCAGTATCTGCTATCCTTCAAGGCTATTGGGTAAACAGTTGGCAGAATCTGCTATCCTTCAAGGCTATTGCGTAAACAGTTGGCAGTATCTGCAGTCCTTCAAGGCTATTGGGTAAACAGTTGGCAGTATCTGCTATCCTTCAAGGCTGTTGCGTAAACAGTTGGCAGTATCTGCAGTCCTTCAAGGCTATTGGGTAAACAGTTGGCAGTATCTGCAATCCTTCAAGGCTATTGCGTAAACAGTTGGCAGTATCTGCAGTCCTTCAAGGCTATTGGGTAAACAGTTGGCAGTATCTGCAATCCTACAAGGCTATTGGGTAAAGAGTTGGCAGTATCTGCAATCCTACAAGGCTATTGGGTAAAGAGTTGGCAGTATCTGCAATCCTTCAAGGCTATTGGGTAAAGAGTTGGCAGTATCTGCTATCCTTCAAGGCTGTTGGGTAAACAGTTGGCAGTATCTGCTATCCAGATGGTAAGGCTATTGGGTAAACAGTTGGCAGTATCTGCAGTCCTTCAAGGCTGTTGGGTAAACAGTTGGCAGTATCTGCAATCCTTCAAGGCTATTGGGTAAACAGTTGGCAGTATCTGCTATCCTTCAAGGCTATTGGGTAAACAGTTGGCAGTATCTGCAATACTTCAAGGCTATTGGGTAAACAGTTGGCAGTATCTGCAATCCTTCAAGGCTATTGGGTAAACAGTTGGCAGTATCTGCTAACCTTCAAGGCTATTGGGTAAACAGTTCATCACCAACACAATTTGACTGGCTATATCACTAATCAATAGCTGTGTGATATCGAGCACAATCTAAATCAATAGCACACAGTCAATGAGCTGCTGGGTAGTTATTACGTTTCCAGGCAATTGTTTCAAGGGCGTGAACAACCTGTATTTTCGTGAACACCTGGTGTCTTCACTGATTTTCGCAGTGGTTCATTCATATCATTTTGACAGCTGTTTTGAGATTTGCAACACTCTGAGGAAAGCGGACTGTTTTTATAAATATTCCTTGATTCCAACCACTTTCTACATTTCTTTCCCCCCAGCCTTGTCACATACATCCTTGACGCAGAAACAGACGGGGGCTACCAGGAGATAGAAGGTTGGTGTTGTACGTCATCGTAGACCCTTAAACGTCACATGAATTAGTTCAGATAAACAGGTCATAGCGAATTATTAAATGGGCAATGGTATGTACCATGTCTAAAAACAGTCTTGGAATTTTAGCTGTCAACATAGAAAAACTAAAGGCCTATCATAACTATTAGCTCCGAGTGACCTTGGGTGTTGGGGTAGCCCAGTGGCTAAAGCGTTAAAGCCGAAGGCCCGGGTTCGATTCCTGACATGGGATCAATGTGTCAGGTCCATTTCTTGTGTCCCCTGCCGTGATATTGCTTTAACATTACTAAAAGTTGCGTAAAACCCAACTCACTCACTCACTGACTGACCTATTAAAACTTGCATCGGATGCTGTCCATATATCGCGTCTACGGCACTAGATCAGTGCACTATATTCAAACATGTACGGATATGTGATCGGTGCAGTTTGTATGCATAATTAACTGCTGAACATTGTCACTTTCAGAGAGAGGATACGTTCATCAGCGGTGAGTATCTTCATCAATCTTCAAGTAGGATGAATAAATATTTCATCTCACACAGTGATACATAGCTGAAGATATAGAATTGATCATGAGAAACCCATGGTTGTCGTCAAAGTTGACAAACTGGATACGGTGGTCAGGCTCTCTGACTTGGTTGACTCATATCATCGTATCCCAATTGCTTAGATCGATGCTTATGCTGTTGAGCACTGGGTTGTCTGGTCCAGACTCGATTATTTACAGACCGCCGCCATATAGCTGGAATATTGCTGAGTGCGGCGTCAAACAACAAACAAACCGACATAGCTATCAGAGCAAAACTATGCACGATTCGGAGCGGTGTAAATTGAGAGTGTGTCACAGCTAATTTCATTTCATTTTCCTCAAGTTTAATACTCATTTTCATGAGCTTGGTTTCGTATCACAGGGAAGACGAAAACGACGGGAGCTACCAGGAAATAGAAGGTTGGTGTCTAAAGGTTAATTACAAGCATGATGTGTAACGGCTGTGAAACTCGAACTGTGAGTGTATGGTACTGATATGTCGATTGAATGTAGCTCGAACTACCTCCCGTCTGAAGCCTGGAATAGGAGTCATGTCTAAAACCCATATACATTGGATATAAGTCAAATCGTCAAGGTTAGGGTGTAATATTTCGAGGAAAGGGAAATATACCGATTATATGATTCAAAATACCCATCATAGAATCGTAAATATACTGTAAATAAACATTTCCTGAGTCAAATTCGTTTATATTATATATATAATACTTATGGCACTTCTTAATTTCCATGTACATAACCAAGATTCGGTGATATGCCATGTTGGGGAAACAGATCCACTGGCCTGGACAGCTGTAACGGTCACACTTACCGTCATACATCAAGAATGATTCTTCCATCTTCATCGCTTGCTTCCTTTGTTGCGTTATACGATGTAGACAGGGTTCCAGTAGCGTATAAACAATCGTAGTTTCTTTGAAAAAGTAGACACAAATAGTATTTCGTACTAATGTCCTAAATCCAGTATCTATGCACTGAAAGGAATAAGGAATATTAACGAAGAATAGTTTAAGTTTCAAATACGATGTAGACATGACTCTGTTAGCTTATAAAAAGGATCGATGTTTCATTCAAAAAAGACACAGACAAAAAAAACCAGAACTTCCTCTATTTCCTCCTTATGTTTTAAAACCAACATATGCATTAAAACGAACAAGGCATATTAACAGAACATTTCTTATCATTCAAATACGTCTCTGCGTTCTCATATGAATTATCATACTAATTACATATGTGTTAACTGTGTTTTATATCAGAAGGTGATGACAACGTCGACGACATCGTCCCCATCGTAGCTGTCTACGCCATTATGCTCACTGCTGTGGCAGTTGTGGTGGCAGCAGTTACTGTTCTTGTCTGCAAGGACGTAAAAGGTACGATGAATACATGAATCGTTTTGAATGCAATGTAAGTTTTCCTCCACTCCCCAACACACCACAACCAACACCCACCTGAAGAACCAGGTCAGAGCTGGTCTTCTACAACCTATTTGCAAGCTCGTCATAACAGGTGAGAAACGCTGGCTGATTATGGCCATGCATGTATACCCCCGTTTCCCAATTTCGTCAATCGATGCTCATTATATCAATCACTGGGTTTTCTTGTCAAGTTTTGATTATTTCAGACAATCGTAATATAACTGGAATATTGCTGAATGCAGCGTTAAACAGCAAAGAGGCATGTCTGTAGTTCACCTTAATATGCTGAAATCTTTTTTTTTCCATTATATTTTGTAAACGCTGTTTTGATTCAGGAATTTGGGCAGTCGGGAGCCAAGTGGTTAAGGCGTTCACGCCAAAGACCTAGGTTCGATTCCCCACATGGTTACAATGTGTGAAGCCCTATTTATGGTGTTCTGGTTTTGGTGATATTGATGGACTGTGCTAATAGTGACTCCGTCACTAACTGTTATTCAGTAAATGGAAATTTTTACGATTTACTTTCTTTTTAGAAATTTACAAGTTTTACTTTTGCTTTATTTGCAGAAAACCAGGACAGAAGGTACATAAGTTTATTGTTTGACCTTAAGTGCAGGAGTTAGGTATCGTAATAACCAGTTAACAAGCCCTCATATATGTGTCCAGTTGCAATCTCCTGTGTTAAACACCATTTACTCAACTTACCCCAGAAAACTAGACCCTAACTGAATAGACGAAGCCCGTATAGATTATCTGTGGAAATGACGGAGAAAGTAGCAGTTGGATCTATGTAACAAATGTACGATGTGTTAAGAGAGGATTGCAAATCTATGATCACTGTCTTTTTTAGGATTTCCAATCCATTTATGATTTCTGTTCTACGCTGCATGAAAGCAACATACATACACTTCTGTGCAAGACAACTTTATCTGCAATGTAAGTGTAATGTTGTACTTACAGATGTGGTGAATATCTTACTGTGATGGCAGAGAGATTGTCCCGTGACTTGAGTGATGTACCTTGTGCTTCCAACAACGGCGGGGATGTCTTACCCCTACATGATTACGAGCGACTCCTGAGCGAACAGTTCCACATCTACACGTCTCTCCACCCTTCAACTGCTTAACTGAGGACCACAGCACCAGGTGAAGCTAAAACTGACATTACAGTTCCTCATCTACGTCTCTCCACTCTTCATCGTCCTCCATCGAGGACCACAGTACCAGATGAAGCCTATACTGACGATACTGTTCCTCATCTACACGTCACTCCACCCTTCATGGTCACCCACAGATGTCTAATTTGACGGGAACAGTTCTTCATCTACACGTCTCTCAACCCTTCATCGTCCCCCACAGAAGTCTAATCTGACGGTACAGTTCCTCTCATCTACACGACTCTCCACCCTTCATCGTCCCCCACAGAGGACCACAGTACCAGGTGAAGCCTAATCTGACATTACAGTTCCTCATCTACAGGTCTCTACCCCACCCTTCATCGTCCCCCACAGAGTACCACAGTACCAGCTGAAGCCTAATGTGACGGTACAGTTCTTCATCTACACGTCTCTCCACCATCCATCGTCCCCCACAGAGTACCACAGTACCAGCTGAAGCCTAATGTGACGGTACAGTTCCTCATCTACACGTCTCTCCACCATCCATCGTCCCCCACAGAGTACCACAGTACCAGCTGAAGCCTAACGTGACGGTACAGTTCCTCATCTACAGGTCTCTCCACCCTTCATTCTCCTCTACAGAGGACCACGACACCAGTAGGACATGAACTGATGGTACAGTTCCTCATCTATACGTCTCTCCACCCTTCATCCTCCCCAACAGACGACCATGGGACCACAGTACGGGGTGCAGCCTCAAGTGAGGCAACAGTTTATGCAGACGATATTGTCTTTGTACCTTTCTACAGACGATGTTGTGTTTATAGTTTTATGCAGATGATGTTTTCTTTTTCGCTGTAGGCTGACCGTATTTTCTTTATAGCTTTATGCTGACGACATTTTCTTTGTCGTTTAATGCAAACGATATTTTCTTTGTCATTTTATGCAGGCGATATTTTCTTTGTCATTTTATGCAGACGGTATTTTTTCTGTCGTTTTATGTAGACAATATTTTCTTTGTTGTTGTATGCAGACGATATTTTCTTTGTCACTTTATGCAGATGATATTTTCTTTGTCAATTTATGCAGACGATATTTTCTTTGTCGCTTTATAAAGACGATATTTTCTTTGTCGCGTTAGGGAGATGATATTTTCTTTGTCACTTTATGCAGACGATATTTTCTTTGTCACTTTATGCAGATGATGTTTTCTTTGTCACTTTATGCAGATGATATTTTCTTTGTCACTTTATGCAGACGATATTTTCTTTGTCACGTTATGCAGACGATATTTTCTTTGTCACTTTATGCAGACGGTACGATATTTTCGTTTTTTATCACTGTTATGCAGACGATATTTACTTTGTCACTTTATGCAGATGATATTTTCTTTGTCACTTTATGCAGACAATATCTTCTTTGTCACTTTATGCAGACGATATTTTCTTTGTCACTTTATGCAAGTGATATTGTCTTTGTACCTCCAGACGAACAATCCTTACATCCTTACAATGTATGTAAGACTGTGTACCTAGCTGGTGTGATAGTGGCTAATATTGATTACTGTTAAACAGACATTTGTAATAGCATGTTAATATAAACATTTAAAGGTTTCTAAATATTATAATCTTATCGTAAAGCGAATAGTTCTTATGTTAGTGTACAGTTAGTTATGTAGGTGATTCTACGTGTAGATGAACGGATATTTTGGTATCGATGAACAAGAGTAGCTTTTCTTTGTATTATATGTTATCTGATGTTGTGTTTCGACATCTTAATAAACTTATTATTATGATTATTATTTTTTGTCTTCTTCTTGCATTGATCCTTCCGTAAACCTTACCAGGAACATATGATCGTGTGTTCAACCCCAAAAGTTGCATTTTTCATTCAGTTGTTCGCCCCACAAGCGTTTGAGTGAGTGAGTTAAAAGTTTACATAAGATCGACAATAGTGCAGCCATTTCGCGATGAGAATAATTTAGGTATATATTCTATTCAAGTCCCACTATTCATAAGTCTAATATGGTCATGTCAATTGTCAATCCATATATTGTAAAAACCTCTATCTATTTATATATACAGTTCAATGAATCTTAGAGATTCAGTCCTATGCCAATAATATCATATTTACTTTTCGCATTATTTGTATTTGAACTTATTGTCTTATTCATTTAATATACACATGTATGTATCGCTCTTTAATTCTGAAATGTAGGCCTATGGCCTCCACTACAAAAGAAATAAAGATTGAAGATATTATCATTGCATATTTGTCGACAAAATACAGTAAAACAGTGAGGTACGTATCACAGTTTAGTTTTACCACAACGGCTACCGCATGATTGTTCTGCCCAACATTGTTACTTATGCCACTATCGTGCACGTGCATTTTGACCAATGTCCAACTATTACCTTAGTTTCTTTTTTTACGTTTTGAAGAATGCACGATTCGGTCGAAGTTTTCGGACACCTTCGTTTTTATTGGGAGCATGTTATATTTGGGCGAATGTTTTCTGCTTGGGTGTTTATGCAATTGCATTAAAAGTGGTAACTTTCTTTTGCCCGATAGTTTAGTCCTTGAACGGCATTTAGAAGACTGCATGACACGCTGACCATGCGACCTGTGACAAAGGTACTGGAATTGCTGATGTAGGAGTTTCGTTCTTTTCCCAATGGTGCTAGTAGTTTGGCAAGATGCTGGGCTGTGTTGTAGCAGACTGAGCCCCTGGAGCATACACGTGTTCTGACTTTGACTGGATCTTTATGTGTGCCCCAGTGTGTACTTCAGTGTGCTATAATCATTGGCTTCGCCTTACTATTTTGACCTTTGTCCAGTTTCGGGTAAATCTTGTATGGAAAGATTAAAGATAATAAAATGGATGTTACTAGCTCGATACAAAATACATCTGGGGTACTCGATTTGCTGACATTTTCCAAGTTACAGGCGAAACTGTATCTCAGCTGTTGAAAGTATTAATAACCAGATTAATATCCATTTTGATATGGCCACCTTTAGGAATTGTCACACGTCATGCTCTTGATATATTCCTTGTGATACTCATGTTAGTGAATATAAAACATTGAAATCATAATGGAAAGATGTCTGTAATAAGAAGAGAGTAGATAATGAGAATCGTAAAAGAGATAAAACTTCAGGATGTCAGTTAATTTAAATACTTGAGATCTGTTGAAGGAACTAAAGAATTTCTTGAATTCGAAAACTAAACAATTATTTGATCTAACGACTGGCTTAAATATGTTGAAAATGCGGTAATCAGTCTACTAATCTGAGAGAGAAAATAACTAGAAACTTGAATGAAAACAATGCCTGAAAATATGGTCACCATGACAACGCCACTAATATGAATATTGTCACCAAATTATTAGTTATTGTTTGTTGTGATTGTGTGAACCGACACTGACGACCACGTCAGTACCTAGTGTAGCCACCCCTCGCACGAAAAACATCTGCCCATGCCCTCCTAAAAGTTGTTCCATGGGGTTCATACCTGGCTGCTTAGCAGATCCCCCATGTGCGAAAAAATCCAACACTATCCTTCGATGACGACTGAATTCAAATGAAATAAACGTCACCTAGCACATGTTCAGAACGATAATAATGACGTCACACTGTGAAATAATTTCACTTGCGAAAGAATGATTTACAGTTGCAACGTCATGGTTTTTGAGAAGTTCTTTGATCTTATCTTGTTTACATCATGATTATTGCCTCGAAAATGCACAAATATGACTGAAAACGTTTTGTGTGGAGGGTTACACATAGTATATGTAGTAGTAGTAGTAAGTCCAGTGACGTCACTCATTCATAACGTTGGGTTATGTATCAATGCGCCGATACAATGAGAAAGGACGAAATATGCATCGATTTGATCCCAAAGTGGTAAGATTTTAGGGTGTGTAAGAAACAGATTACTGTACTCGTTGTAAGATAAATGGAGTCTGACAAACACTCGTTTAGTTTCTTTTGAGGCCCGGGTTAGAATTGATCTTCAGCAACCCATGCTTGTCGTAAGAGGCGACTAACGGGATCGCTTGACACATGTCATCGTATCCAAATTGCGAAGATCGATGCTGATGATGTTGATCACTGGATTGTCTGGTCATTTACAGACTGGAATAGCTGGAATATTGCAAAGGGCGACGTTAAAGAAAGAAAACTTGGTGTGATCTCAATAGTAACGTTTACATCTTGATGTGCAGTGCAAAAGAGTAAATACGGGTACATGAGAGTGATTGAGTGAGTGAGTGAGTGAGTGAATATCTTTTTACGTCGCTTTTCGCCATATGTCAGCAATATCATGGCGGGGGATACCAGAAATGGTCTTCACACATTGTACCCATGGAGGGAATCGAACCCGGGTCTTCGGCGTGACGAGCGGACGCTTTAACCACTTGGCTACCACAGAGCAGACAGACCCAGCACGCATGACAACATAGTGTTCAATGTTCGACTGCCCAATGATAACGACACTAGTGTTTCAACAAGCAGGGACATGATTCACAGAGTAGACAGACCCAGCAGTGCCAAGTAAACTCATGACAACATAGTATTCAATATTCAACTGCCCAATAGCAACGACACGGCGTATTCACTAATGTTTCAACAAGCAAGGACATGGTTCATGTGACAGGGAAATAGTGTCAAGTGAAACTACATTAACATCAACAGCTCAGATCTGTCAGTGTTAACCAGCTGCTGACTATGTTTCTGATTTTACACTGTGACCGGATTATTTCATGTGTGTGGTATGTATTTGTCTTCGAAATTGACATTTTATATAGCCATCCTTGTGACTGTTTTCTTAAGTAATACGGGATATTCTGTCAGTAAGCATAAGTAATGATGACTGGTATTTTTTTGCGTGCAGGTCAGTATGAACTTATCACGCCAGTTTTTAATATTTTTTTTTATACAGTTATATAGCGCCTAGTATCAATCTGTCTAGTTGCTCGCTGGACGCTGAATCACAATCTGATTATTATTACCCTGGATAACCCAAGCTGCCTGTAAGGCGCTAGAAGGTTAATAGTCACATGACTTATCTCACCGGGTAACCAGTTTCTGCTGTACCCAGTTTCGGCAATTTTGAACAAACACACTTACCTCAGGTGAGACCACATGTTAGTATATGATATGTTAGTATGTTCAGCGTAGTGTAGACCACATGTTAGTATATGATATGTTAGTATGTTCAGCGTAGTGTAGACCACATGTTAGTATATGATATGTTAGTATGTTCAGCGTAGTGTAGACCACATGTTAGTATATGATATGTTAGTATGTTCAGCGTAGTGTAGACCACATGTTAGTATATGATATGTTAGTATGTTCAGCGTAGTGTAGACCACATGTTAGTATATGATATGTTAGTATGTTCAGCGTAGTGTAGACCACATGTTAGTATATGATATGTTAGTATGTTCAGCGTAGTGTAGACCATATGTTAGTATATGATATGTTAGTATGTTCAGCGTAGTGTAGATCACATGTTAGTATATGATATGTTAGTATGTTCAGCGTAGTGTAGACCACATGTTAGTATATGATATGTTAGTATGTTCAGCGTAGTGTAGACCACATGTTAGTATATGATATGTTAGTATGTTCAGCGTAGTGTAGACCACATGTTAGTATATGATATGTTAGTATGTTCAGCGTAGTGTAGACCACATGTTAGTAATGTGTGTATGATATGTAAGTATAGTGCATACATGTATATGAAGCACTGTGTATGGGATATATACATATTATACAGTGTAAACAATCATAATAACAATTAAGTAGATACATTACAACAATGTGACAAAAAATAAAGGGAAATATATTAAGAATACAATCGATCGGGTCCATCGATATCACTTTATGGACTCCCCTAAAAAGAATGTAATTTACATTTTCCGAAAGGTTTACATTAAAAATGCAAAATTGTGTCAGTTTGACAACTCAACCCACAGAAAATACTATAACGCATGTTCATAAAAGTTCTTTCCTCCTTACATGATCTTGTCTCTTTGTTTGGGGGCTTATATGTGTGTGGTATGTATCTGTCAACTAGTATTATATTGAGCTGACTTCAATAATGTGCTTGAATAATTCTGTCAAATATTAACCTTGTTTTAATAAAGAATACTTGTTTTGCGTGCAGGTCTTGCCTCCATGACAACTGGATATAGACACACTGTTACACGTGTTGGCGACGATGTTAACATAACCATGAACCCAGCGAATGTCAGCTTCCTATATAACGTATGGGTGAATGGTTCGGTAGCTGTGAGACTGTTACTGGTCCAGCCTAAGTCACACCGTGTATGGGTACTCAACAGCAGTCACACCGGCTACACGACCAGGATCAGATACACCGGGGAGGACTCACCATCACAGACAGGACAGCTGAGGTTTACCATCTACAATGTTACTGTACAGGACGCTGGTACTTACTACTGTCAAGGAACCAATGGACAGACAGTTACTGGATGTAGACAGGTCCTCGTTGTAGCACGTGAGTAGGATATGGGATTAACAGAATATTATTTGAAGAATAAAGTTGGACTGTCTTAATGTATCTCCAACATAAATAAATAGCTGTTCAATCTTCTATTGCAGTAGAAGAACTTTAGGTGAGGTGAAATTGGGGTTTAGATAATTGTATATATGGATCCAGGTATGTGTGAGTGTCCGAGCATGCGTGCGTGTTTATGTGTGTGTATGTGTGTGTGTGTGTGTGTGTGTGTATGCATGTGTGTGTGTTATATGTATGTGTGTGTTGAAATGATGTGTGTGTGTATGCATGTGTGTGTGTGTGTATGCATGTGTGTGTTGTATGCATGTGTGTGTTGTATGCATGTGTGTGTGTGTGTGTTGTATGCATGTGTGTGCATGTGTGTGTATGTATGTGTATGTATGTGTGTGTGTGTATGCATGTGTGTGTTGTATGCATGTGTGTGTGTTGTGTATATGTGTGTTGTATGTATGTGTGTGTTATATGCATGTATGTGTGTGTGTGTTGTATGCATGTGTGTTGTATGCATGTGTGTGTGTTGTATGCATGTGTGTGTGTTGTATGCATGTGTGTGTGTTGTGTGCATGTATGTGTGTTGTATGCATGTGTGTGTTGTATATGAACTATGCTTGTTCACCGTCAAAGAAGCAGTGTCGCAGTTTAACATGGATGAGTGTATCCGAGTCGATCAGTCTTACATCTTTTAACGCCATTTGTTATAACGCACCTGGTAGTGACACCGTCGACCCTCCTCTCTCCGGAAAATACAATTAACTCGTTTCAGTAGAGGCAGCTAGTACTTGTGTGGTAACTATCATATTTAATCAACAAAACGGTTAGGAGTATTAGGATCCAGCCAACATGGATTCCCTGCTGAAACTGTGGAACACTTACTGTGGAACACTGAATGAGTGAGTGAATGAGTGAGTTTTTTTAACAATATTCCAGCATATCATGACAGATAACATCAGAAATGAGCTTCACTCATTGTACCCATGTGGGGAATCGAACCCGGGTCTTCCACGTGACGAGTGAACGCACTAACTATTTAACATTTGATAGATAATAATGATAAACAGTATATAAATACAAGTATGAAAGCATTTAGTAACATCTTGTTCAATGGCACTCGTGTTACGGTCTGAGCACATTTGTTATATTTGTTCACAGAGAAGCCAACCAGACCTACCATCACCGGACCTGCCTCACCTGTATCAGGTGAGAATGTCACCCTGACATGCTCCTCCTCCTCCCGGAGTCTGCCCCCGGACCATCCCCCACTGACCATGACCTACATCTGGAGGAGGAACAGGACCCTGGTAGAATCTGGTGATGAGTCTCCTACAGGTGGAGATGACCTGACAATAACCCACGTCAGCAGAGAGAACCAGGGAGACATCTACAGCTGCCAGGCCGTGGAGGAGGGGCTGAAGTCTAACTGGAGTCACGGACATGTACTGGATGTTCTCTGTGAGTAAGAACTTACCTTGTTTACGGTATAGGAACCTCGTGTATCTTATCTTTGAAACTGTGCTTCTGAGTGATAGTTTTGTCACAACGTTCTACTGTGAACTACTGTGAACTACTGTGTTCTGTGTAAACAAATCAGAAATGATTATTGTGAATGTTTTGATAGGAAATATAGGCAGGTCTGATTTAATGATCCATGAGTTTCAGAGGCTATCGAAAATGCTGATAGTTCCCGGCACTGTAAGCTTACCTGGATATGTTGACAAGAGTTGTGCATGCTATATCTGGGGTTAGGCGTCTGACTTTGTGTGCAAGCTATTAGGTACCTGACTCTGAGGATGTGGGTTCGAATCCCGGATTGGACTCAACCCAAAAGTACTAGAATTTGTACTTTACTAAGAAAGTGTAATCCCAAATATAACATGTTACATGGCCACTTTCTAAATTGTATTGTGTAGTCATAAGAGTTGTACATGTCAACAGAGTGCGTGAGTGAGTTACAACGGTGTTCCAGTTGTAGTCTGTACTTATTATGTGAGGAAAGCATAAATTGATATTGGTCTGAGACGTTTACCATTTTGTGAATCCAAGAACACAGGCCAAGCCAAGCAGCATGTCTTCATTCATGTCCACAAGCAAACTGCACTTATATGTCAGAAACAGCGTTCTTAGCTGACCATCTCACATGCATTCCAGATGAACCTGACCAGATACAGTTTGACGGCACAAGTGACAAGCTGGAGGTAGAAGAAGGGAAACCTGCAGCTGTGAGATGTTCTGCTGACTGTAACCCTGCCTGTACTGTAACCTGGTGGAACATCTCCAGACAGATGGTGATTACAGGACAGGGGGAGGCTGTGTTGTCTATACCAGCTGTAGATGTACCTGTGTCTGTACTATACACGTGTCACGTCAACAACACACATGGGAGTGCATCACGGAACCTGACGCTGGAGGTCTTCTGTAAGTCAACACTTCAGCAATAGAATCTGTAATATACAACCTATTTGGGGGATGACGCCTGTTGGGACGGCCCCCTTTTCGTACACCTGATCCTGCTGGAACACCTTCTGGAACACCTGCTAGAACACCTAGAGATTTAAAGTAATCAAAGACCCTTTAGATGGCACTCAAAGATTAAAAAAATAATTAACCATTTGAAACCGTAATATTGATGAAGAATTTAATTTTCACTATGATCTGATGCATTTTCACTCCAATGATTCTTAACTTTCAGATTCTCCAAATATCCCAAATCTTTCCGTTTATTCGAAAAAATCAATTAGAAACCGAGCCCTACAGAATACAGTGCTCCTGAAACTCTATTTATATGAGGAATATAATTTGACACTTTTCGTTAGATATTTCCGTTTCTTCACCCTGCACAAATGAGAACACTGATGTTACCGACATTGCATGTCCTCCTGTGGAACTGATGTTGACAATGACGTTGTTGTTGGGGATGTACAACGTACCTCATCAACCACTTACAAAGCGTGGCACGGAGAGGTTATTTCAGATGAACATCGCAAGTGTCAACCCATTTAATATGTTTTGAATCGGGTTAGAACCTGCCGAACAGGCTTGATCTTACATGACTATACTTGTATGCATACTGTACTGAATATTGTCCATGCTAAATGTTTCAGCACGTGGAGTTACTGAATCTAGTGTCGTTACTATCGTCCCCGTGGCTGCTGTCTGTTCCGTCCTGATCGTGGTCATCGCCGTTGTCGTCATCGTTGTTGTTTGTAGAAAACAGAGACGTGGAGGTAATACGGTGTGATGTGAGAGTGAATGACGATAACCCGAGAGTCACGTAAAGTTGTCTCTCTCAGAAGCACTCCTTTCGCACTTTCGTTCAGCAATTACAAATACTGATCTCACTTAATAGCGTGTTGCGCTTCATATATTAACTTCATGCTCATGTTTACATCACGCAATCGATGTGTGTGTTCAGTGTATCGTCACCCGGAAATAGTTGGCTCCATAGAATAGCAAGGCCAATGCTTTCAAATGAACAGTTACACAATGATAGTGCATAAGAAAGATAGACACGTTCTTTTATGTGAGTGAGTATGGTTTTACGCCGCTGTTAGCAATATTTCCCCAATATCACGGCAGGGGACACCAGAAATTGGCTTCACACATTGTACTTAAGTGCGGCATCGAACCCGGGTCTTTGGCCTGACGAGCGGACTATTTAACCACTAGTCTACCCCACCGTCCCTTCCTATATATATACACATGTACTTAATTATATATGACAGTGTGGGGCAATGCTTTGGGTGAGGTAGGCGGGGAGGGCAGGGCTGGATGGTTACTTCAGAATACGTTGTACCCCCACAACTGATATATACCAATACTGACCAGCAAAAGAAACGCAATTCAAAAAATCAAAACTCATACTGAATCTCGATTCGTCTTAAAAGATGACATCATCCCACCTTCGTTGTCCAGAACAGAACAGAACTTTTACTACGCTCAGGCTGGGGTACTCGACATAACAGGTACAAATAAATATACAGTTGAGAATACATAGGATGGCGGGATGGTTTACAAGGAAGATTGTACAGTTTTCATGACAGTACTACAAAATATACACAGTTTTTTTAAACACTAATTCGTTTACAGTTTAACAATGCGTTAAATCTTAAAACATTGGGTTTTTCAACATAATGGTTTGGGATATAAGTTTTCCTATGATGTTTAAAGAAAGGGCAGAGAAAAATGTAGTGAAATTCATCGCCAACATCACACGTGTAGCAGAGGTTACACATTCTTTCTTCAAGTGGAATTTACTTCTATATGTAAACGATGGCAGGAAGTTCTAAACAAGAGAAATTTAAGAGCCAAGGAGAAAGGGATATATGTGAGATATTTATCAAAGACAAGTTCAGATTTGAATACGCGATACATGGTACCCTTAGAAGAATTCGAAATCTCTGCGCGCCATGTTTGGGTTGCTATATCATCTAAGCCTTAGGAGATAATAGTTGTAATTTCATTGAGAAAGACAGCTTGTTGACTTACCCAGCAGATGCTTTAGCCTGTTTCATTAAATACGGCTTCCACGGATTTTATCCATTTTTGGTTGCTATTGTTTATGCAGGCTTCATTATATAACATTTGGTATACAATTGTTGACAGCTTTTGTTATTTACCAGATAGGAGTCTATCCCAGAAATATTCCATGCGACATTTGATAGAGTTATTTAGGGGTACCCTTCCAAGTTTTCCATATAGCATTATAATGACGGACTTCTCTTAACGGGAATGAATTTGCGTAAAAAGTTTACGTGAATTGATTCTATAGATATACAGTTTTCAAAACCCCATATTTCGCAGTCGTATAACAGAGTTGGCTTAACCATGGTGACCTCGATTTGTCACCCAACGGCGCCGTTCCAGTCGATGTCTGTTGGTGAGGATTGGTCCACGGTAAGGTCGACAGCAATGTAAGCCTGCTGCTAGGAGTCTTGAACGCACAGTTCTTTCGCTGATAGGACGCCCCATAGACCCAATCACGGCATTAACAGTGTTTACTGCCGCCTGCAGACGGTTCCGGAGGTGCTGAAGTGGGATTATCTGGTCCTGTCTTTGTGCCGTCACACGGGGGTGTACCGGACCGGGTGCGATCAGTTTCCACTACCCGTTGCTGCAGACGAGTTATTGTCGAAGGGTGCACCTGAAAATGTCGGTCTACACGAACTTGTCGAACTCCAGCATTCAGCATGCCTATTGCTTGGTGTCTCTCCATTTCACTTACACGTGGCATGTTGCGGTGAAATGACAGCATTACGACACTGCCTGCATTTGTAGCCCTACGTCCACACTCTGCACGTGTGTCATGCATTTCATCCTTGCTTGTTTCTCCCTAATGATTTGGAACACCATCCTGCATGGTGAATGCTTTATCATCACCACATCATACTTGTCTTAAAGTATCAAACCCAAACTGAAGCTGAAAAAGTACAATTTTCATGAATTCTGATTTGCGTCTCTATTGGTGGTCAGTATATCAACACATATACAAACGTTAAGCAATACTAATATGTTTTTAGATGTAATGTCTTTACTATAACTGTAAAACATAAATAATACTTCGGTATGTAGCATCTGATGTCCATTTCCACCCAGTTACTCAGTAAAACGTTATCTGGCAAGCATTTCACTATATATTGACATGTTATACATTTTCAAATGATCATTTTGTCCTATTTATACTTCCCTATATCATATTTTTCACGTCCGTGTGGTGGATTTTGTTGAAATGTAAAGATGTCCTTGATGGTGTCTATTAGTATTCATTCAGGAAGTAAATGTGGGGAAATTGAATCTGAGACCAGCCTTTAAGGAAGAGTTTATAGTGAGTGAATATGAGCAATATCACGACGGGGACACCGAAATGGGCTTCAGATATTGTACCCATGTGGGGAATCGAACCCAGGTGTTCGGTGTGAAGAGTTTATACCCTTAAGACACACTATTATTGAGATCATATGCAAAACCTTGCACACCCATAAATAGAGTGAAAATTGAATATCTATGTCATAAGACTTAGATGAGAAGTTAGATGTAAATTACTTAAAACTGTGGTGGTATCTACTTGACATGTTCTTTTCTGTGTGTTTCAGTCCAACATAGACTCTTTTCACTTCTCTTATATAACCGTGAAGATGTATTTGAACAGCCTGAGAAATATGAATAATTTCTCTTTTATTACCGTCAAGACGCTTGAACGGCATTTGAGATATGAATCCATAGTGTGCACACATTTACATATTTAGCTTTCAGTGAGTGAGTGAGGATGTTTACGCCGCTTTTAGCAATATCCCAGCAATATCCCAGCGGGAGACACTTTAACCACTAGTCTTACCATCCCAACAAGGACTTCAGGACACCAGTGTTACTTAGCTGACAGTCACATATCGTTCTACAAATTTCAAGTTATTTATTTCAACTTCAAAGGTGTGCAAGTATACGAGCAATTCGTTTATCATATATTTTTCATCTAACATTTTGCATCTACACAATTATATCTTTCAGGAAGGGGAGACATTCATAGTCGGTGAGTATCTACTATCCAGTGGGTAAGGCAAATGGGTAAATTTAAACTTAGTAGTAGGTGCTCTTTTTCAAGGCTGTTGGGTAAACAGTTGGCAGTATGTGCTATCCTTCAAGGCTATTGGGTGAACAGTTGGCAGTATCTGCTATCCAGATGCGACGGCTGTTGGGCAAACAGTTGGCAGTATATGTTATCCTTCAAGGCTATTTGGTAAACAGTTGGCAGTATCTGCTATCCAGATGCGACGGCTGTTGGGTAAACAGTTGCCAGTGTGTGCTATCCTTCCAGGCTATGGGGTGAACAGTTGGCAGTATCTGCTATCCTTCCAGGTTATTGCGTAAATAGTTGACAGTATTTGCAATCTACTTTCTACATTTCTCCCCCCCCCCCCCCAGCGTTGTCACATACATCCTTGACGCAGAAACAGAAGGGGGGCTACCAGGAGATAGAAGGTTGGTGTTGTACGTCATCGTAGACCCTTAAACGTCCCATGAATTAGTTCAGATAAATAGGCCATAGCGAATTATGAAATGGGCAATGGTATGTACCTTAAACAGTCTTGGAATGTTATCTGTCAACATAGAAAAACTAAAGGCCTATCATAACTATTAGCTCCGAGTGACCTTGGGCGTTGGGGTAGCCCAGTGGTTAAAGTGTTAAAGCCGAAGGCCCGGGTTCGATTTCTGATATGGGATCAATGTGTCAGGCCTATTTGTTGTGTCCCCTGCCGTGATATTGCTGTAACATTGCTAAAAGTCGCGTAAAAGCCAACTCACTCACTCACTGACTGGCCTTCTATTGAAACTTGTATCGGAAGCTGTCCTTATATCGCGTCTACGGTGCTAGATCAGGACCCTTATTCTCGAAACGTTCGTAGCCCTAAGAATTCTTAATTTTGATAGTAGCCAATGTGTTAAGAATGGAATTAAGAAGTTCGTAGGACTTAAGAAGTTTCGAGAATTGCTAGCCAGTGCACTATATTCAAACATGTACGGATATGTGATCGGTGCACAATAATACAGGCATCTGTGATTAACCTTGCAGTTGTATGTATAATTAACTGCTGAACATTGTCACTTTCAGAGAGACGATACGTTCATCAGCGGTGAGTATCTTCATCAATCTTCAAGTAGGATGAATAAATATTTCATCTCACACAGTGATACATAGCTGAAGATCTGATATAGAATTGATCCTCAGCAACCCATGGTTGTCGTCAAAGTTGACAAAAGTGATACCGTGGTCAGGCTCGCTGACTTGGTTGACTCATATCATCGTATCCCAATTGCGTAGATCGATGCTTATGCTGTTGAGCACTGGATTGTCTGGTCCACACTCGATTATTTACAGACCGCCGCCATATAGCTGGAATATTGCTGAGTGCGGCGTCAAACAACAAACAAACCGACATAGTTATCAGAGCAAAACTATGCACGATTCGGAGCGATGTACATTGAGAGTGTGTCACAGCTGTATAATTTCCTTTCATTTTACTCAAGTTTAATACTCATTTTTATCAGCTTGGTTTCGTATCACAGGGAAGACGAAAACGACGGGAGCTACCAGGAAATAGAAGGTTGGTGTCTAAAGGTTAACTACAAGCTTGATGTGTAACGGCTGTGAAACGCGAACTGTGAGTGTATGGTACTGATATGTCGATTGAATGTAGCTGAATCCCAAAAGCCTGGAATAGGAGTCGTGTCTAAAACCCATATACATCCGATATAAGTCAAATCGTCAAGGTTACGGTGTAATATTTCAAAGAAAGGGAAAAATACCGATTATATGATTTAAAATACCCATCATAGAATAGTTAACATACTGTACATAAACGTTTCCTAAGTCAAATTCGTTTATATTATATATATAATACTTATGACACTTCTTAATTTCCATGTACATAACCAGGATTCGGTGATATGCCATGTTGGGGAAACAGATCCACTGGCTTGTACAGCTGTAACGGTCACACTTCCCGTCATACATCAAGAATGATTCTTCCATCTTCATTGCTTGCTTCCTTTGTTGCGTTATGCGATGTAGACAGGGTTCCAGTAGCGCATAAAGAATCGTAGTTTCTTTGAAAAAGTAGACACAAATAGTATTTCGCCCTCATGTCCTAAAGCCAGTATCTATGCACTGAAAGGAATAAGGAATATTAACGACGAATATTTCATGTTTCAAACACGATGTAGACAGGACTCTGTTAGCTTATAAAAAGGATCGATGTTTCATTAAAAAAAAGACACACACAAAACCCCAGAACTTCCTCTATTTCCTCCTAATGTCCTAAAACCAGTATGTATGCATTGAAATATAAAGACTATTAACGACAAATCTCTTATGTTTCAAATACGATGTAGACAGGATGCTGTTATGGTATAAATGGCAGTTTCTTTCACAAAAACAGAACTCCCTCTATTTTCTCCTTATGTTTTAAAACCAATATATGCAATAAAACGAACAAGGAATATTAACAGAACATTTCTTATCATTCAAATACGTCTCTGCGTTCTCATATGAATTACCATACTATTTACATATGTGTTAACTGTGTGTTATATCAGAAGGTGATGACAACGTCGACGACATCGTCCCCATCGTAGCTGTCTACTCCATTATGCTCACTGCTGTGGCAGTTGTGGTGGCAGCAGTTACTATTCTTGTCTGCAAGGACGTAAAAGGTACGATGAATACATGAATCGTTTTGAATGCAATGTAAGTTTCAATCCCTCCTCCACTCCCCAACACTCTTCAACCAACACGAACTTACACCAAAGTTAAGAACCAGGTCAGAGCTGGTCCTCTACAACCTATTTGCAAGCTTGTTATAACAGGTGAGAAACGCTGGCTGATTATGGCCATGCATGTATATCCCAATTGCGTAAATCGATGCTCATTATATCAATCACTGGGTTTTCTTGTCAAGTCTTCATTGTTTCAGACAATCGTAATATAGCTGGAATATTGCTGAATGCAGCGTTAAACAGCAAACAGGCATGTCTGTAGTTCACCTTCATATGCAGAAATGTTTTTTTTCCATTTTTTTTGTAAACGCTGTTTTGATTCAGGAATTTGGGCAGTCGGGAGCCAAGTGGTTAAGGCGTTCACGCCAAAGACCTAGGTTCGATTCCCCACATGAGTACACTGTGTGAAGCCCTATTTATAGTGTTCTGGTTTTGGTGATGATGGACTGTGCTAACAGCGACTCAGTCACTAACTGTTATTCAGTAAATGGAAACGTGGACGAATCTTTCCGTTTAGAAACTTACAAGTTTGTCTTTTGCTTTATTTGCAGAAAACCAGGACAGAAGGTACATAAGTTTATTGTTTCAACTTAAGTGCTGGAGTTAGTTATGGTAATAACCAGTTAACAAACCCTCATATATGTGTCAAGTTGCAATCTCCTGTGTTAAACACCATTTACTCAACTTACCCCAGAAAACTAGACCCTAACTGAATAAACGAAGCCCGTATAGATTATCTGTGGAAATGACGGAGAAAGTAGCAATTGGATCTATGTGACAAATGTACGATTTGTTAAGAAAGGATTGCAATCTGTGATCACTGTTGAGGTCTTTTTAAGGATTTCCAATCCATTTATGATTTCTGTTCCACGCTGCATGAAAGCAAAATACATACACTTCTGTGCAAGACAACTTTATCTGCAATGTAAGCGTAATGTTGTAATTACAGATGTGGTGAATATCTTACTGTGATGGCAGAGAGATTGTCCCGTGACTTCAGTGATGTACCTTGTGCTTCCAACAACGACGGGGATGTCTTACCCCTACATGATTACGAGCGACTTCTGAGGGAAGAGTTCCACATCTACACGTCTCTCCACCCTTCAACTTCCTAACTCAGAACCACATCACCAGGTGAAGCCAAAACTGACGGTACAGTTCCTCATCTACGTCTCTCCACTCTTCATCGTCCTCCATCGAGGACCACAGTACCAGGTGAAGCCTATACTGACGATACTGTTCCTCATCTACACGTCTCTCAACCCTTCATCGTCCCCCACAGAAGTCTAATCTGACGGTACAGTTCCTCATCTACACGACTCTCCACCCTTCATCGTCCCCCTCATAGGACCACAGTACCAGATGAAGCCTAATCTGATGGTACAGTTCCTCATCTACATGTCTCTCCACCCTTCATTCTCCTCTGCAGAGGACCAAGGCACCAGTAGGGCATGAACTGATGGTACAGTTCGTCATCTATACGTCTCTTCACCCTTCATTGTCCCCAACAGACGATCACGGGACCACAGTACGGGGTGCAGCCTCGAGTGAGGCAACAGTTTATGCAGACGATATTGTCTTTGTATCTTTCTACAGACGATATTGTGTTTATAGTTTTATACAGACGATGTTTTCTTTTTTCGCTGTAGGCTGACCATATTCTCTTTATAGCTTTATGCTGACGATATTTTCTTTGTCGTTTAATGCAAACGATATTTTCTTTGTCGTTTTATGCAGGCAACATTTTCTTTGTCGTTTAATGCAAACGATATTTTCTTTGTCGTTTTATGCAGGCGAAATTTTCTTTGTCGTTTTATGCAGACAATATTTTCTTAATAGCTTTATGCAGACGATATTTTCTTTGTCACTGTATGCAGACGATATTTTCTTTGTCGGTTTATGCAGACGATACTTTCTTTGTCACTTTATGCAGACAATATTTTCTTTGTCACTTTATGCAGACGATACGTCACTTTATGCAGATGACATTTTCTTTGTCACTTTATGCAGATGATATTTTCTTTGTCACTTTATGCTGACGATATTTTCTTTGTCACTTTATGCAGACGATATGTTCTTTGTCGCGTTATGCGGACGATGTTTTCTTTTTCACTTTATGCAAGTGATATTGTCTTCGTAGCTCCAGACGAACAATCCTTACATCCTTACAATGTATGTAAGACTGTGTACCTAGCTGGTGTGATAGTGGCTAATATTGATTACTGTTAAACAGACATTTGTAATAGCATGTTTTGATAAACGTTCTAACGTTCTAAATATTATAATCTTATCGTAAAGCGAATAGTTCTTATGTTAGTGTACAGTTAATTATATAGGTGAGTCTAGGTATAGATGAACGGAGATTTTGGTATCGATGAAAAAGAGTGGCTTTACTTTGTATTATATGTTATCTGATGTTGTGTTGCGACATCTTAGTAAACTTATTATTATGATTATTTTTTGTCTTCTTCTTGCATTGATCCTTCCGTAAACCTTACCAGGAACATATGATTGTGTGTTCCAACGCCAGAATGGTTGCATTTTCATTCAGTTGTTCGCCCCACAAGTGTTTGAGTAAGTGAATTAAAAGTTTACATAAGATCGACAATAGTGCAGCCATTTCGAGATGAGAATAATTTAGGTATACATTCTATTCAAGTCTCACTATTCATAAGTACAATATGGTCATGTCAATTGTCAATCCATATATTGTAAAAAAACGATTTTTTATATACACAGTACAATGAATCTTAGAGATTCAGTCCTATGCCAATAATATCATATTTACTTTTTTACATTTTTTGTAAAATAACGTACTGTCTTATTCATTAAATATACACATGTATGTATCGCTCTGTAATCCTGAAATGTAGGCCTATGGCCTCCACTACAAAAGAAATAAAGATTGAAGATATTATCATTGCATATTTGTCCACAAAATACAGTAAAACAGTGAGGTACGTATCACAGTTTAGTTTTACCACAACGGCTACCGCATGATTGTTCTGCCCAACATTGTTACTTATGTCACCATCGTGCACGTGCATTTTGACCAATGTCCAACAATTACTTTTTTCACGTTTTGAAGAATGCACGATTCGGGCGAAGTTTTCGGACACCTTGGTTTTTATTGGGAGCATGTTATATTTGGGCGAATGTTTTCTGCTTGGGTTTTTATGCAATTGCCTTAAAAGTGGTAACTTTCTTTTGCCCGATAGTTTAGTCCTTGAACGGCATTTAGAAGACTGCATGACACGCTGACCATGCGACCTGTGACAAAGGTACTGGAACTGTTGATGTAGGATTTTCCTTCTTTTCCCAATGGTGCTAGTAGTTTGGCAAGATGCTGGGCTGTGATGTAGCAGACTGAGACCCTGGAGCATACACGTGTTCTGACTTTGACTGGATCTTTATGTGTGCCCCAGTGTGTACTTCAGTGTGCTATAATCATTGGCTTCGCCTTACTATTCTTACCTTTGTCCAGTTTCGGGTAAATCTTGTATGGAAAGATTAAAGATAATAAAATGGATGTTACTAGTTCGATACAAAATACATCTTGGGTACTCGATTTGCTGACATTTTCAAGGCCAAGTTACAGGCGAATCTATCTCATGTGTTGAAAGTATATATACTCTCCCCAAGAAACACATCATGAAAATTGCAATTTTATGTAGCAATGAATTAAAACGTGATTCATGTTACTAAAGGTTTTGCTCTGTGTATGAGTCCCCTTGGTGTTTATGTTTTGAAACATCACAACAAAACGCACCATCCGTAAAATACCCGTATTTAACAACATGGTTTTCAATTTCGGCGTGTAGTGTCACAGAATACAGAATTCACATGCAATGCACGTCAGATAGTCTCAATGATGGGTATAAAAGCTTGATCGCTGTCTGTCGATTATTCACTGTATTTGGAATATTGTTGACGAACGCAAAAGGCCACGTCTAAGTGAAGCCAACCGTCATATCGCCATTGGTGTGCTTGAAGCTGGCCAGTCTCAACGTGCAGTTGCCCGACTCATGAATGTTAACCAAAGCACCAAAGAGGCTGGTTTACGTGCCAGAAGACCTAACATCGTCGACATCGAGTTCAATGGTGCACCAACGTTTAGACATGGAACCTACCGAATTGGCGTAGAATCTGGCTCAGTGATGAATCACGATTTCTATTGGAACGACGCGATGGAAGAATGCGGGTGTACAGACGTCGACGTGAACGTTTCGCCGACGCTTGCGTTCCCCAGGTGGACGTATTCGGCCGGGGGAGTGTTATGATGTGGGGAGCGATCACCTGCCGTAGGAGAAGTGATTTGGTGATGATCCAGGGCAACCTGACAGCTCAACGGTACTGTGACGAAAGCCTACGCCCACACCTCCTTCCAATCATTGATCGCCAGAGGTAGTTGTTTCAACAGGACAATGCCAGGCCCCACACAGCACGTCACACTAGAGACTTCCTCTAGAACCACAACATCAATGTGCTCCCCTGGACCTCAAGATCACCGGACTTAAACCTGATCGAACATCTGTGGGATGCCCTGGACAGATGGGTGCCACGCCGTAACCCTCAGCCACAGACACTTCAGCAACTCGCACAGGCACTACAGGCAGAGTGGGCTGCGATATGGGCAACGCGAGATTCTGAGACTTATTCGTTCGATGCCGAGGCGATGCCGTGCAGTTCTGGATGCCCATGGTGGTCACACGAGGTATTGCGCCACCACATGTCTCCATGTGACACTGAAACTGACTTTCCTCGATTTGGTGCCAAAGACGGATAAGTCTGCATTCCCAGTGTGCAATTTCGCTATATTTCATTAACTCATAAAGCCTACAAGATTTTTTAAAATAAACATAAAAATACAGTTGAAATTCCAATATGCGTTTCTTTTTTGGGAGAGTATATAACCTGATAAATATCCATTTTGATATGGCCACCTTTAGGAATTGTCACACGTCATGCTCTTGATATATTCCTTGTGATACTCATGTAAGTGAATATAAAACATTAAAATCATAATGGAAAGATGTCTGTAATTAGAAGAGAGTAGATAATGAGAATAGTCTAAGAGATAAAACTTCAGGATGTCAGTTAATTTAAATACTTGAGATCTGTTGAAGGAAATAAAGCATGTCTTGAATTGTAAAACTAAACAATTATTTGATCTAACGACTGGCTTAAATATGTTGAAAATGCGGTAATGAGTCTACTAATCTGAGAGAGAAAATAACTAGAAACTTGAATAAAAACAATGCCTGAAAATATGGTGACCATGACAACCCCACTAATATGAATATTGTCACTAAATTCTTAGTTATTTGTTTGTTGTGATTGTGTGAACCGACACTAACGACCACATCAGTACCTAGTGTAGCCACCCCTCACACGAAAAACATGTGCCCATGCCCACCTAAAAGTTGTTCCCAGGGATTCATATCTGGCTGCTGAGCAGATCCCCCATGTGCGAAAAAATCCAACACTATCCTTCGATGACGACTGAATTCAAATGGAATAAACGTCACCTAGCACATGTTCAGAACGAGAATAATGACGTCACACTGTGAAATAATTTCACTTGCGAAAGAATGATTTACAGTTGCAACGTCATGGTTTTTGAGAAGTTCTTTGATCTTATCTTGTTTACATCGTGATTATTGCCTCGAAAATGCACAAATATGACTAAAATGTTTTTGGTGTGGAGGGTTACACATAGTATGTGTAGTGAGTAGTAAGTCCAGTGACGTCACTCATTCATAACGTTGGATTATGTATCAATGCCCCGATACAATGAGAAAGGACGAAATATGCATCGATTTGATCCCAAAGTGGTAAGATTTTAGGGTGTGTAAGAAACAGATTACTGTACTCGTTGTAAGATAAATGAAGTCTGACAAACACTCGTTTAGTTTCTTTTGAGGCCCGGGATAGAATTGATCTTCAGCAACCCATGCTTGTCGTAAGAGGCGACTAACAGGATCGCTTGACACATGTCATCCTATCTAAATTGCAAAGATCGATGCTGATGATGTTGATCACTGGATTGTCTGATCATTTACAGACTGGAAAAGCTGGAATATTGCAAAGGGCGACGTTAAAGAATGAAAACTTGGTGTGATCTCAAAAGTAACGTTTACATCTTGATGTGCAGTGCTAAAGAGTAAATACGGGTACATATGAGAGTGAATGAGTGAGTGAGTGAATATCTTTTTACGCCACTTTTCGCCATTTTTCAGCAATACTATGGCGGGGGATATCAGAAATGGTCTTCACACATTGTACCCATGGGGGGAATCGAACCCGGGTCTTCGGCGTGACGAGCGGACTCTTTAACCACTTGGCTACCACAGAGCAGACAGACCCAGCACGCATGACAACATAGTGTTCAATGTTCGACTGCCCAATGATAACGACACTAGTGTTTCAACAAGCAAGGACATGATTCACAGAGTAGACAAACCCAGCAGTGCCAAGTAAACTCATCACAA